ATCAAGAAGGTTTGGTGTTGACGTTGAAGCTGTTCATGTTTGATTAAGGAACGATGAGAGGACCTAGCTGGAAATGGGAAGACCTCAACATGAAGCAGCCAGTCCGTAGAAACACAATCTGTGTGTGGACAGCCCTTGTTTTGTTACAAGACTGGATCAGGGTGCTGTCTCAGGAGGGGTACAACAGGACATCACTGACAGCACTGTGCTTTCAGGTTCCTCTGAATCACTATCAAAGGTGATCTAAAGTCCCACTGTATGCTTCACCATCCCATGATGCCAGGAGATTTGCCTAGTGTGTGTCTAACATTGTCTAGATGGCTCCTCTCCTTTTAACGCCACCACGAAATGATCACCTGTGTTGATACAGAACAGAGAATTGTCACTGAACATGATACGACACCTCATCAGCCCACATATTCCAGTTACAGCTCAAAGAGCTTAAACATGGAGTGATGAACCCAAAGTTTGACGAAAGCCATTCATTGACACAAGGTGTTGTAAAGCGCCCAGTAGTAATTGTTTGGATGGCAGGAAACACATCATGTTTTGTTTTTTTATGCTTGGCACACAATACAACCATCTTTGGCTGGTGTGGTCTGTATTGGTGACCAACATCTTTGACTTGTGGAGAGCTCCTTGTTGGTGACAACACTGGGCCACCTTGACATCTGTATGCCTCACAGATGCCAAGCAATCACACGATACAACCCCTATCAAACTCCCTGAAGGTCTTGTAAGGGTGTCTAATGCCGCTACACTGTCCTCTATCTCGTGTGGCTTTAAGTAATGGGTTTTAATAACTGTTAAACACTCTACCAAATGCCAGAAAACGGTATTGCTCCACTGGTGATGCCACCACATATGGTCCTCTGGGTCTTGTTCGAGGCGTGCCAGCTTGTTGGAAACTTGAATCATTTGCAAACCCATTCTCTGGTTTGTTTGGGAACTAGATTGTGGCTATAACCATGGTCTGAACCTATTTTAATATGCCAGGCTTACCTGATAGACTGTTCATAATGAAACACTGATTAACAGTCATTAGTTTGTTCTTATATTCTTAAACAAAAAAATACAACTTATTCATCAGGTTTCTTAGGTAAGCAAATGTCCACTTGTGTTTTGCAAACTAGGCAACTGGTTTTTTTTTTCTGAAATTTGCATATAAGGACCTGAGAGTGCTGTGGTTTAGTCTCTGTGGAAATTTTGAAGCTGGAGGAGAGAGTGTAGAGAGCAGACAGGTGAAGAATGTCAACAGAGGAGGAATGAAGTGACATCAGCCTGAGAGACGGAGGAGGAGAGCGTGTGCAGAGAAGCTGGCGGTGGGAGTTGGGGAGGCTTTCGATGCAAATGAGAGGCTATGTTTATGTGCAAGTGGGTCACTTGTCAAGCACAGCAGCCATGTGGGATTTGTAGCTTTTTTACTATTTGTTTCTTACTATAAAACATACAAATCCACTCAAACGCTAATGCTTTCTTTGAAATTCTTACATGCAGAGGTCCCTTTCAGCACAGACGCCGCAGTCCCAGTGCATCTGACCCCTTTTTCTTTGTTATTGGAGAGATTGTTGGAGTCGGTGATAGTGGTAAAAACACAGTTAGAAACCGTGTGCATGTGAGAAATGGAAGGTAGACTTAAAGGAATAATGATTCTTTCCGTGTATTTTTCTCTTCAGTTAAAACGACTGTACCAGTTTGCATCAACATGAGTTTGTGGAATACATGCAGCTTTTTTTTTAATCTTTAGTATGTTGGTGTTTGTGTGAGACGTTTCTTTTATTTTTGGTTCTGCAGGCTTAGCAAAGCGTTAAAGCAAAGATTATTTTCAGCTGTAACATACAACAAAGGCTACTCTTCAAGACAAATGTAGAGAGTTCAGTTGCTCTTGTGGCTGATTAATTAGGTAAATTTGTTTCTGTTTTATAATTAATCCACACTGGCTAGCCCCAAGCATACTAAACAGAACAGCACAGCAGAGTAACATGTGATAATTCATCCGAACAGAGGAGGGTTTTTGGGACCGTGGACATATTGTGTTATAGTCTTTGTCAGTCCCTTTGTCCGTAAACATTCTTTGTCCAGTCCATAACTTGTGATCCACTGAAGATCATCACAAGTTGAAATGTTGCTACACTTTTCTTCCCCCCAGCTCGAAGGTCAAGGCCACAAATCGAGATCAAATGTTATACAAGGTCTTAGGTTGTACGGGCCATTGCTTTAAATTGTTGTACAGGAGTCCCTCGATCATTGTGGGGGTTACGTTCTAGACACCTCTGCGATAGGTGAACAACCATGAAGTAGGAACTAAGGATGGGGCCGATCCGATCCAGTATCGGTATCGGCCTCCGATACCAGCATAATTTACGTATCGGATTTGTCCGATCCACGTGCCGATATTTCCGATCCATGATGCATGTTGGCTTCAAACTACGGAATGGATTTCCTGAACGGCGGCGTGTCTCATGAACCCAGAGTAATAAGACCCGCCTCACATTCAGGAAATCCAGTTCATAGTTTGCAGCCAGCTCCAACGTGAGGACTGAGTTAGCAGCACTGTGGCTAACAGCTAACAAAGTTTTCATCTAAGCATGTCCGCTGTGTGGAAGTATTTTACACTAGAAACAGCACAAAACAAGACAGCAACGTGCAATGTCTGCAGAGCCATAGCGCCACATTAAACCGCGGTAAAGTTAGTTTTACGATGGACATTCGAGCTCCGTGGCTTCAGCGGGGCGCTACTCTCGCTGAATCCGAAAGAGGCGACTCGACCTCGGCCAGCCGTGTCCAATCTGCCCCGCTCAGTCTGCCCGTCTCTGAGGAGGGACAGACTGAGCGCGGCTGCCCCAAATCAGGCTGCCTGCTTCGGATTGAACAAGAAGAAGACATCGCTGAAACCACGGAGCTTAAATGTTTACAGAGAAGTTGCTAAACTTCATAATTAATATCCAACCACTATCAGTTGTAGAAAACAAAGGATTTCACAGTTTGATATTTGCATCCAAGATATAGTTTACCCTCCAGCAGATATTTATCAGTACAACAGTAAACAATCATAAAAAAACCACGATTTGAAAATTATATATATTAAAAACATAAACAGCTACATTATAAAGTGCTGTAAAATACTAACATTTAATTTAATTCATTTATTCATTCATTTAAAAGAAACAAAATTAAAAAAGAAAATGTTGAATGAAAAAGAGTGCAGAAAGAAGAAAAAAAATCTTATATCAGCCCCTTATTTAAAAAAAATATAAAATAACTTTAAACAATCACTTAATCACTTTAATATCCACTTTAAAGCTAGGAATAAAAATAAACATGTTTTGTGTTAGCAGAATTGAATTCTAACTTTAAAACTTATCCAACATTAATACAACTTACCTCAAGTTGCCTTTTTGGACATGCATGCATATATTTGTACAAATTGTACTTGAGATATTATTACAGCCTCATATAAAATCAACGATGATCATGATATCGGAACTGGATCGGTATCAGCTGATATTTAGTTTTAGGTATCGGGATCGGATCGGAAGTAAAAAAGAAAAAGAAAAAAGTGGATCGGTGCATCTCTAGTAGGAACGCTATATTTATTTTAGTATATATATATATATCCAGTTCCCTCATGTCTAAATTTTATTTTAACTCAAAATATGAAGAAAAAAAACCTGACTTACTGTATATCCAGCTTTGAATTTAGGTTTGACTAGCTGTGGTGGCCATTTTTACATTTTTCCAAAAGATAATCAGTTATACGTGTACATTCAACGATTACTTTGAGTTTTATTTAAATCTCTTCGTGTTTTACTAACGAACATACACAACTAATTACATGATCTCCCATCTGCAGTCACTGGCGATGCTTACTGATCGTAACCTGACCCATCGATGAACAGTGTCATCGTTAAGACAGTCACGTGTCCTTCGCTCACCTGCTGATTCTTTTGTGTGAAGTTTATATCGGATGTAAAAATCAGCTGAAGCAGAGATGCTAAATATACTCCCGCTCTACAACAAAGGGTCGTCTGAGCTCCGTATTCGACTCCGTTCGTCAGACCTGGGGGGGATGTTTAGGTCAGAGGTCATAAAACAACATGAACGATCGCTGGGTAGCGGGAGGTTTTTCATGTAGGTGAGTCGGTTTGTTTATGTGGAAGTGGGTCAGCTGTGAAGAAAAGCAAGCATGTGGGACTTGTATCAGTTTACTCCCCGTTTTGCTGTTCTTGGCACCGTACAGCAAAAAGACGAGTCCACTCCACTGATGACTGTTTTCCAGGAGGCTGTCACATGTAGACGTCGTATATGGAGGCACTGCGGTCCCCCCCGTACATTGTGTCTAAATGCAGTTTAGCAGAACATGGTCTCATTTGAAACGGTGTGTGACAGAAGCAATCTGATGATTAATCACTTATCAATATATGTCTGTTTGCTTCAGCAGCAGGACTTAAAGATCGTGTAGTTTAGGTTGAAATGACTTTATTTTATATATCTGCGTGTTTTGTGCGACAGTTCTGTGGTGTTTTTATAAATATACTGACCTTGGGAACTATTTGTTTTCAGATGTGTGGGACTACAGTGAGGGCAGACAGTAACCTCATTAACTAGACTTATTGACTGATGATTGTGCGCACCACGACAGGAATAGATTCAAATTCTGATTTGCCTCGGGTGATGTTTGTTTGTAACTGCATGGCAGAGTGGAAAGACAAAGATTGAAAATTAGTGTCAACCTTGGTTAAAGTTTGAAGCTTCAGTTTACGTTAGTTTATGGCTCGAAGCCTTAAATACAAGAAGTGCAACTTAAAGTTTTTGGAAAGAACATGAAACGTGTCCATTATTGTCTAGTTTTTCTCTGAGCGGAGAGAACCTTTGCACAAAATCCAACTTGGAGTCTGAACTTTTAGTTTAAGTGACGATCTTTCCGTCAGTAACTTCACTGATCTTCTCTGTCCCGTTCAGAGTTTTCCTCGTTAACGACGGTTTTCCGTCTCCTTCAGGTGACCCACCTGTGGGTTTTCGTGACGTGTTGCTGCGGGACGGCCCTGAGGGGTTCGCCAAAGCTGTGCGAGCTCACCAGGGTCTGCTGCTGATGGACACCACCTTCAGGGACGCCCACCAGTCCCTCCTGGCCACGAGGGTTCGAACCCACGACCTGAAGATGATCTCTCCGTTCGTCAGCCACAACTTCAAAAACCTGTTCAGCCTGGAGAACTGGGGAGGTAAGCTCGTGTTTGTTGCTCTCCGTCGCAGAGGGAGGGGGGGGGGGGGACTGGAAACACCCTCCCTTCATCTGCGAAGGTTGTGAGCTCTAACTGGGAAAAATAAGCAACGTGCCGACTTCCATTTTGATGTTTGGCTGCATCTGGGCCAAAAAAGGTCACTATCACAAAAAGTCCTGATGCATGCTCAATAATCCAGGTAGAAAAATCTAAAGAAGTTAAATCTGGTCCTCTGGACTTTCAAAAAAACAAAACAAAGCAAAACAACAAAAAAATGTAGAAACGTTTCGTCTCTCATCCGAAAGACTTCCTCAGTGTGAGGTGCTGTATTCAGCTCAGTCTTATAAATAGCACTTTCTCAGAGTGGATCAACCAGATATCTCAAAAAGTCTAAATGCAGGCTGTTTCTCTATCATCTATCTATCATCTATCTATTTATAATCTATCATATATCTATTTATAATCTATCATCTATCTATCATCTATCTCTATGTATATCTATAATCTCTATCTCTTATCATTTATCATCTACCTCTATCTATCATTCTATCATTTATTAATTTATCATCTATCATCTATCTATCATCTACCTCTATCTATGTATATCTATAATCTAGCTATCATATTTCTATATATTATATATCATCTATCTATCTCTATCATCTTTCTATATATAATCTATCATCTATCTATATCTATCATCTGTCTATCATCTACTTTTATCTATCATTTATTTATAATCTATCTCTACCATCTATCATATTTCTATACATTATTTATCATCTATCTATCTCTATATGTCTCTATCATCTATCTATCATCTA